AAGCTCAGGTTCTCACTAGTTGTATAATTAACATAAGTATAGCTTTATAAGCTAGCAGTAACCAAGCACTTGAGTGTTTCTGAGATGAATTCCAGAAGAATAGACCAAGCAATCAGAAAGAGAATCTAATCATTCCGTTAACAACAATTTTGTGTTATCTTTTGTCATATGTTCAATTACAATACGATCAACCTGGTGGAGAAAGGGTGGGAAAAACAGTGTAAGTTGGTAAATAGCTTTATGCTTGATTTTCTTGATGCCCATTATTACATGAAACTTTTTCAGCAAGATCTTCCTAAGGGTCTCTCAGCCATGTTCACCTTCATAAAATACAGTGTTCATTTTAATGGTTGCATTCAAGTGAATGGCTCATACAAAGAAGTCGCACCAAAATAGAATGCAAAGCATGTTTGATAAATAGGCATTCTAGCAAGGCACATAACGAAAGTCGAAAGCATGTCGATGTGCATATGATACCTGTGCCATCATACTTGGACATTCTTTGATTCAACCATGCTGTAGAGTATGCTATTACTCGGCTTTTTCTGGACCAGTAGAACCTATTTTGAGAAGTTCCCTCTATTTCTTCCTAGTACTGTAAAGTAAATGTTAGTTTTCTTAATATTTCTGTATTACCTAGGTTGCAGCAGCAAGCCATCCTCGTTGTGGTTATAACTGAACTATCAGAGGTCCACAAAGTCTAATGATAACTGGTGGATTACTCTTTTTACCTCAAAGATCTGCTATGGTGAAGTGATTTACTTGAGAGGGCAAAAATCCACCAGGGCCAGAATTGAAAAAGAATAGAAGAAAGATGCAATAAAGGATGGACTTAAGAATAAACATAAGATGAACCTTTCTTACAACCTCCAAACATTAGCACAATGCATTGCAACATCTTGATCATTTCTTTTTAAATCAGGGAAATTTGAATATTTATTATGCTAAAATCTTATTAGAGAGTGGTGATATGAAATAGACGGTTGTGATGTGAAATTGTCATGGAGGAACTCAAAACAAACTGTGCAACTTCATATGTTTCCTGGAGTACAAATTACTAGCTAGTGTTCAGAAAGAGAGAAGCCCTTAACCATGTTGTAGGGCAAAGTTGCATTATTCTTGGAAATTACTAGTTTAAATTTAGTTTCTTTCCATGGTACACATGACACTCTTATGACAGAAAGCTATGGGAGCTTAAGGGAGTTGCCACCAGAGCAGATAAGGCAAATGAATCTGTATTTGCAGTTTGCATTTTTTTCTGTAAGTATTTCTTTTTTTCTCCTGTAAGTATTTCTTAATTACTGGTTTCTGCATGCAGACTTGAAACTTAGTTTCATTAGCTTCTCTGGTATTTTCTTGTAGAAAAGATTGAACAGTTGGTTATGTTCCCATGTTACATAAAACACAAGCTAATATATCACGTTGGATGTCAGTCCACCCATAGTTGCCATGGATAAGCCTTCCAATAAAGAAAGCTGCTTCCCTTTAGACAATGTGCACTTGAATCTTTTACTTCTTGAAGACTTGTATATTGTCAGTTAATCTCCTCTGAGAGTCTATCCCCATTATTGCATAATAGCAGATGCTTTCATATTCTTTTGTTCTCTCTTCCCCTGAGACTATGCTCCCCCAAAAAACTACAACTTAATTAGCTGTGCACAGGTATCAAGTCTTGGTTCAAAAGTATCAAAATGATTAGGAGAAGCAAATTATTGAGACATAAAAATATAGAAGTTGAGAAAGAGTTGGCATTTGTACCAGGGAACAGCACATGGACACTTGTAAAGCAAGGAAGGAAATCACACAAAAATGTGTTGTAATAAGAGAAACATGTAACATATAAACCAAGCTTTGTCATTGCAATTGCTCTGACTGCATCAAGTCGAAGGTGGAATAAAGAGGATAAAGGTTGCGGTGGATTCTTAATAGAAGAAAAGTACAAGAAGCAGTTGCTGTCTGGAAAAGCTTGACTTTTGCAGTATTATGTAAAACTATTGGAAGAGTCAACTATCAACAGTAAGTAACATTGAACTGCTGATTTGCTGATCTAATAGTTTGCATAGAGTAATAGTTTCAGTCTGTAGTGTAAAACCCAATTCTAAACCTTTCCAATTGGTGGTCGAATCAAGCAAGATCAGATCAAGGGATTGAATTCTTTTGGGGGAAAGGAAATGATAGAGGTAATATATTTAAACGAATGCATGATATGATCACATTGCTTGAATACATAGCATGTGGGTTAGGCTTCCATTGCTAGTATTGTTTACTTGACCATGATTATGTCCAAATTGTTTATTGTTCTTATAATTATTAAATTATCATAAGCACAAAAATGTACAAATGCAGCAATTGGCAACACTATGAGCTTGAACTTACCACATGAGATTTCTTTTCTCTTAAATAGATTGGAATGAGTTGTGCAAGGTGTGAACATTTGAACACATCTTATTGAGATCATGCTAAGGATAATGATTAGAAAGCATTTTCATTAGCACAATAC